TCTGGGAGGTAACTAGGGCATGAGGGTCAGCCCTCATGAATGGGATTAGTGCCTTTCTTAAAAGAGACTTGAAGGCTTGCTGTCTCACTCTTCTCTCTGCCATGTGAAGACACAAGGAGAAGGCAACCACCTGCCGAATCTGTGGGTACCCTAATCTTGGTTTCTGAGCCTCCAGAATATGTGAAGTAAATGTTTGCTTTTTTTAAGCTGCCCAGTCTAAGGCATTCTGTTATAACAGCCTGATCTAAGACACACAGCATATGAAAAGTTGTGGGATTCAGATAAAGAAATCTTTGGAGGAAAATGTATAGCTTAAATGCTTTTATTAGAAAGCAAAAATATAAAATCCATGATCAAAACTTCTACCTTATGAAATAGAGAAAGAAGAGCAAATAAAATCCACATAAGTCAAAGGAAAGAAATAATAAAGATGAAAACAGAAATCAATGAAGTAGAAATAAAACGTTAAAGAAAATCAACAGAGCCAAAAATTGGTTTTTGAAAATACTAACTAAATCAATAACACCTATTTAGACTGGTCAAGAAAAAAATCTTAGAAAACACTGATTATAAATAAATGAAGGCAAGAACATTACTACAGATTCTAAAGACACCTAATAGTCATTAAAGACTATTATAACAATACTAGTGGCTTGGTGCACAGATTTGTGCACATTGAAGGAAAATAATTAGAAGAAACATTTTAATATTGTTATTTGCCCCTTCTCTGAAATGGAAGTGTCAGAGCTACTACTGGTCATCATCTGTGGGGTGATTGGTGGGACAATTGAACCCTGCTCCCACCTTAGCCTGGCTCTGCCTAATCACCTGCTTCACCATCCTGCCAGGCTCTCATGGGGGCCCATTGGGGCCAGCAGTGCCTTCACTGCTTCCTGCTGCCAGCACCATGTAGCCAATGCCATGTTTTGTGCTGCCCCCAGATGGACAGAGCACATCATAGTGAGCAGTTGAAGGGGACAATTTGCATATTAGGCTTTTATTCTGTAGGATTATACTCATAAACTTGACATCTTAACTGAAATGGATAAATTCTTTGAAAAAAAAACCTTGTGAAACTGATGTAAGAATGCATAGAAAATGAAAATAGCCTTCTATTTATTAAATAAATTGAATTCCTAATTTAAAAACTTCCCACAAAAAAGATTCCAGGCTCAGATATTTTTACTGGTGAATTATACAGACATTTTAAAAAGGAAAACATCAATCTCACCTAAACCTTTTCAGAAAATGTATAAAGAGATAACACTTCCTAACTTGTGTGATTAGCTCAGCATACTAATCAGAGAAGATAAGAGAAATTTATGATTCTATATCTTTCATAAATACAGATCCACAAATCTAAAACAAAATATTAGTAAATAAAGCCCAACAATATTTAAGAAGGTAATTCATCATGACAAAGAGTTGATGGAACATTTGAAACCAATTTTTTGAATTCAACACATTAACACAATAAAGAAGAGAAGTGGTAATCATATTAATAAATGTAGAAAAAGTATATGATAAAATTCATTAAACCCCAATTTATGATAAAAACTCTCAGAAAATTAGAAATAGAAAATAACTTGTCATCACTTCTTGGCCTTTTGGCTAAGATCAAGTGTAGAAGATAATGTTTCAGTCTGGTAAAATACATTTATGGAGAGACCACAGCTGAAATTATACTTAATGATGACATTTGTATATCACTGAACAAAAGAAGGATGCCTAGCATATTATTGAATGGCCATCCTTGCCAGTGCAATATAGCAATGGACACATAAAATGCGTGTGTCCCTTTCCCAACATAGCAAGGGGAAAGAACAAGAAATAAAGGGCAAAATGGAATGGACCCACACACTGGGTCCAGGGCATGGCCACTGTGGTGGCCACTGTCCCTGAGGCTGCCAATGAGAGAAGTGCATGTGGCAGGATTCCTTTTATTTGAAGTTCTTCAGTATCCATTAAAAGTGATTTACTTTGCTTTCTGCCCTCTCACCACACCCCCCCTCTGTACATGGCCCGACCCCCACATGTGGGCATTTGAGACCTTGTGTGGTTGGAGGATTGAGACAGGCTCTCTGGTCAGAGTGTTTGAGTGTCTTCAGAAAAAGAATTCGTATTGGGGCGTCTTGTTCATTTGGGAAATTGTATGGTATTTATTGATTGTATCTATTGCCAATGTTTATATCCAATTCTAAGATTTCTGAAAAGAATTCTTGTTCCTTGCTGCTCAGAAAAAGTTTGCTGGAGGCACCAGTTCACTAAAAGCACTGAAATGTGCAGCGTCTGTGCTGCATGACTCCGCAGAGCCGAGCTTCTGACTGTGGGTTGCTGGGCCGGATAAGAGTCAGCATTGGCCTGGTTGAAGGCGGGCAAGGGGAGCAGATTCAGCATTGCTCACTGAGTTTGGGTAGCACTCTGATGATTTGTTCACTTTAATAAAGACAGATTTGGGTAAACAAAATAAAAAGAAGTAGAAAGAGATAAAAGGCATACAGATAGGATGAAAGAAAGATAGGATGAAAGAAGTGAAATTGTCTTTATTCGCAAATGACAAGATGTTTTTACATAGAAAAACTAATGAATCTACCAAAATATTCTACTAGAATTAATATGTGAAGGAGCAAAGCTGCAAAATACAAGGCCAATATATATATATATATATATATATATATATATATATATATATATACTAAAAATTGGAAAGTAAAAATTAAAATATGTCATATATAATGCCAAAAAATAGTTAAGAATAAGTTTACTTTAAAAATATAAGCCCTCTATACTGAAATCTATAAAATATTGCCAAGAGAAATTAAACAAGACCAAAATAAATGAAGAGTTGTATTTGAGTTCTTGGATTGTAAGACTCAATATTCCTAAGATATCAATCTTCTCCAAATTGCTCTATAGGAGTCAGTGCAGTTCCAACCAACTGCTTCTAAAATGTATATGAAAATGCTGAAGTTCTAGAAAAGCCAAAATAATCATGTCAATGAATACCTAAGTTGGAGAACTGACATTACTTTATTTCAAAGTTAATATAAATCTATGATGATCAAGTGAGTGTTAAACTGGTATAATGGAACAAATCAGAGAAGACACACGTATACAGTCATTGATTTTTACAAAGGTGGTAACACAATTGAAACAAAGAAAGGATTGTTCCAAAGGATCTCCCTATGTAATCCCTTGGGGGAAATGAAGCCTGGTGCTTGAGCCATCTACTTGTATGAAGCAAATGAACTCACATCCCCTAATTACACTATATATAAAATTAATTTGACATGAATTATAGCCTAAAAGTAAAAGCCATGACTATAAAACTTCTGGAAGAAAGCAAAAGAGAATATCTTTGTAACCTTGGGGTAGACAAAGAATAGGCAGGGCACAAAAAATTCTAATCATGAAAGAAAAAACTAAAAAAAAAAAGGTCTTTATCAAAATTAAAAACTGCTTTTCAAATGACAACATTAAGAAACTGAAAAGGCAAATCACGGATTTGGAGAAGACATTCACAATATGTACATCTGACAAATGATTCATTTCCAGAAAATATAAACTCCTATAATTCAATAAGGAAAAGCAAATAGCTCAAGAAAAAAAAAAAAAAAAAACACTTCACAAAAGAAGGTATATATGAATAGTCCATAAACACATGAAAAATTATCTACATTAATAGCCATTATAGAAATGCAATTAATACCTCAATGAGATACTAGTTTATATCCACCCTAACAGCAATTTTCAACTGGTGTGCTGATACAAGAATTTTTAAAATATTCAATAGCTGAACTCTGTTCCCTTAAATTATCAAATAAAAAAATTTCAAGAGCCAACACAACAATATCTGTTCAGTGTTAATGAATCAAAGTTATACCTATATTTTGTAAGATCAACAAAAAATGTACTTTTGGTGTTACACAGAATTTTAGTAATCATGTGTTCCATGAGATGAAAAAGGTTGAAAATCACTGCACTATAATAACTAACATTAAAAAAAAAACCTGATAAGTCTAATTGGTCAGCATGTAAAGCAACTTGAATTCTCATATATTGCTGGTGGGATCATGAAATGGCACAACTATTTAAAAAAATATATTAGGCAATTTTAAATATAATTAAATTCCTACCCTAAGACCCAAAACCCCATTTCTATGTATTTACTCAAAGGAAATAGAAACATGCATCCTCAAAAATGCTTTATTCATAACAATCCAAATACCCATCAACAAGTGATTGGATATGGTCATACAATGGAATACCAGTCAACAACAAGAACAGGAACAAGAATAAGAATGAGAACCGCGGTAACAAGTAAAAAGAAACCTTGGATACATGCAAGAAAATGAATGAACCTCAAAATCTTTGAGCAGAAGAAACAGATACAAAAGTGTACATATTGTATGATTCAATTTATATGAAGTTCTAAATCCGGCAAAAAGAAGCTTTGGTGATGGAAATTAATCATTGATTGTCTGGAGTGGGAGTGAGGATTAATTGCAAATAGGCATGAAAGACTTTCTGGGGTGATGGAAAAGTTCTGTATCTTACTTATGGTGTGTATTTCTAAAAACTCTTACACTTAGTTATACTTTTAAAACCTGTGCTTTTTATTGTATGCAAGTTATACTAAAAACTATACTAAAATTATACCAAAAGATTCCAGGACTATTGGTGATGACTTAGAGTGTTTGCTGGTACTTTGAATAGACGAAGACCCCTGCCTCATCGCCATGCACAGGTTAATCATGTTCTCCTTGGGCTGGAGGCAGCTGTAATGAGTAATCTAGTTTCTTTCTTACCACAAAACACTTAAATAACGGTAAAAAAGGAATATTGGTCTAGCTGCCACACAGTACTCTTCTGTGGCTTGCCTAATGACATCATGAAGATCCTTGAAGAATTTGGCTGGACAGTCCTGGGGCCCGTGACCCTGGCGTACTCCCAACTAACTTGAATGCATTGACACTGACTTTTTTTCCCCTTCCATACAGGAAATGCTGAAGGACGAGGTGCGGACGCTCACTTACCGGAACTCCATGTACCACAACAAGCACGTGTTCAAGGACAAAGTGGTGCTGGACGTCGGGAGCGGTACCGGGATCCTCTCCATGTTTGCTGCCAAAGCAGGGGCCAAGAAGGTGTTTGGGGTGAGCATGCCACCCATCTCCCTCCCCACCCCCCACCCCCAGTCCCTCTTGGTGGCTTCAGCAGAGCTGGCCCTGCCCCTTGTCTTCTCCGGCCCTTCCTAGTAGTACAAACCCTGATCCACTCCTCTGCTAAGGTCACATACTCAAAGAAAAAATCAAGTGTGCCCCTCAGGAGGCAGGACAGTCTCCATGGCTCCCTGTCACCCAGGCACCACTCTTGGCCTCTTGCCCTGGTGATTGCTGACATTTGCAAGAGATTTTTGACTTTTCAGAAACCATTTCAGTGTCATCAGGGCCTCACAATGCTTGAGAGGCAGTGCAGCATGATTACACGTGTGAGTTCTGGCCTGAATCTCTGCTCTTCCGCTCATGAGATGTGTGACCATGGGCAATTCACGGCTCTGTACCTCAGTTTCCCCAATGTATAAAATGGACATGAAAATAGTGTCTTGTCCATGAGGTCATTATGAGGCATGAAAAGTTTAATAGATATGTAAGGAGCCTAGAATAGAACCAGCATAGGACAGATGCTCAGTGTTTATTTGGATAGTCGGGATAGGGCCCTAGGAGATAACAACAAGAAGACCCTCTGCTTTGTCCTTTAAAGGGCAATTTGGTAGATTTAAATTCTGGCTGCTGCAGCCTCTCTGGCCAGAGGTGGAGACTGACCCTCCAGGAACCTCCTAGCATTCCTCTGTGAAAAAGAGAGATCCGTGCTGCTGACTGCCATTGAAAAAATGCAGCGGCTCTAGAAGTGGAAATTTGGAATTAATATTGATCAAAACTCAAATTACAATAAAAAAATCATAGAATATGTACAGGCAGCCCCTTTGCAGAGGCTCCCGGGCAGGTTTCAGTGGGGCCTAATTCTCTGTCATTTCGCTGGGTCATGAGAACCTATCCCGAGAACCTCAGGCTCCTGAGTTGACTAGGACCCTCCAAATCCCCTTGGCCATCCCCGTTTAGCAGGGACCAAATTCCTTCTTCATGCCTCACCCAAAAGCACTTGGGCCTTAGCTGTAGAGGGTATTCTGGAAACCTTGACCAGAAAAGCTGTAATGCACTCAGCTGAGGCATGTGGTTAGGGTACGGGGCCAATCTGATGTTCAAGGTCAAGTACTGTCATCATTACAGGTGCTGCCCTCCCCACCTTCTGGCTTCCCTTGACAAGGCCCTGCTCACCAGGGTGGAGGCCTCCTGTCCAATGCAGACTCCACTTCCAAGGAGCTCACACCGCCACAGAGCGGTGAGACTGCATGCTGACCTGGAGCACCTTCCTCACAGTGCTGACAGTGAGGCGCCAATTCAGCCCCAGTCTCTGCTAGGCATGTAGGAGCAGAGAGCTGCCGAGGGAGGCCGGGCCACCTTTCACCACCTTTCTAGTCACTGGGGCTTCCAAGTTGGCAGGGGCTCCGGCCATGGAGCTGCCAGGAAGGTCCTACCCGGTGCCTTCCTGCTGTGGTGATGGGTCCCAACCTGGCTGCCTCCTGCTCTTCTGCTTTAACAGCTCTTTTATAAACAGCTCCACCACAGTTAGCCGGGCTCCTTTCAGGCTGGCTCATTTCACAGTTCAGTTTCTCCTGTTCCAGGCTCCCCTTTCCACCCACAGCTCTTCTCTAGTTGGGGAGTCGGAATGGCAGGAAAGATAAAGGTGAGAGGGGGAGAGATAGGAAGAGAGAGAGGAAATTGACAGAGACAGCAGTTGGAGACAGTGAAATTGGGAGACAGACATGAGAGAAATGGAGAGAGAGACAGAAGGATGGAAAGACTCAGAGAAAGCGAAAGGACTGGGAGAGGGACTAATAAAAAGGAGAAAGAAAAGAAACTAGAAAACAAATGAAAATGGGGGAAATGAAGAGAGAGTAAAGAACAAAGAAGAGAAAAGGTAAAGGTAGAGGTAAGAAAAGGTGGAAAGAATCTGAGTGCAACCTCATGTGTCCCATGTGTGTTTCATCCTCACATTGATCATGTGAGCAGGACTTATGAGGAAACCAAGACATAGTTAGAAAGCGGCAGAAGCCGCATATAAATCCAGGCATTCTGGTTTCAGGTCCCATTCTCCAAGGTTAAGCTCAGGATGAAAACGTGGCGAGGGAAAGAAGAGGAGAGAAGCAGTCTTGCAGGAGCCTGGTAGCCCAGGAAAGGCGGGTCCTCTGGGGTCTGAGCCTTGGCTAGAGTCTGCCTCCTCTACCAGAGTTTCCCTCTTTTGACCCTGTAGGTGCCCTCAGCTTACTTCAGGCTTTGAGGATGCTGCCAGCAACCCCCAGTGGCCCTATGCAAATGCTCAAGGCACTAGGGCAGTTTATGGTGGGGCCTGAGTGTGAAGGTGAGGTGCCCTGGATTTAGCACAGTCTGTTCTCTGTGGAAGGCCAGCTAAAGAGGTGAGAATAGCTCTTGAGCAGCTTCCCTCTGTTTCCTTCACCATTGACCCTCTCCTGTGCTCCCACAATGGTCTTCTCTCAGCTGATGGTCAACTACCAACTAATCCCTCAAATACCTTAGGAGTGGTAGAAAGATAATGTTGAGGGAGGCTCACAGCACCTCTGGTCGGTCCTACATCCTCTCCTACGAGGATAGTGGCTGTGCCAACTCATCCAATGCTTCCCTGGTCCGGAGAATGAGGTCTGCCAGCTCCTCCAAAATCTCCCAAATTAGACATGGGCCTCCATGGTGAAGTGCAAGGTGGGATCCAGCCTGGCAGCAAAGGCACCCCACAAGGTGGGAGGGCTGCACTGTAGTTTTTTTTTTTTTTTTAATATATTTTATTGATTTTTTACAGAGAGGAGGAGAGAGGGATAGAGAGCTAGAAACATCGATGAGAGAGAAACATCGATCAGCTGCCTTTTGCACACCCTCTACAGGGGATGTGCCCGCAACCAAGATACATGCCCTTGACCAGAATCGAACCTGGGACCTTTCAGTCCACAGACCGACGCTCTATCCACTGAGCCACACCGGTTCTGGCAGCACTGTAGTTTTTAATCTGTCACAGATTAGCAGTGACAGCTGGGGGCACATTATTACACCCCTGTAGGTCTCAGCTTCTCTGTCCCTTAACTTGGTGCTGGTTGTATTTTTGATGTGTTGCTCCTTTGTTCTGTGCCTTTCTAGATTGAATGCTCCAGTATTTCTGACTACTCAGAGAAGATCATTAAGGCCAACCACTTGGACAACAGTAAGACATACCTCCATGTGTTTTCCCATGGACGGAGGGGGGTTTTACTTCCTTGCTTGGGTGGCAGAGAGTGACATAAGTATTAATCCCTGAGCTCCCATGTCAATATTTACAAGTGAATCAGAGAAATGAGTTGTTTTTTTAAGGACAGGAGATACGAAAACATGTGTATGATTCAATGGTCCAGTAGAGAGGAAGAACAAAATTGCAGACACAGGAAAAAGTAAATTTAGGAGCAAAGACCTTGAGAAGGTAAGAGGGCCTGTGGTGCAAAGCACAGATGGAGGGTTGACCTTTCTCTTGGAGTAGAGACAGTTTAACCACAGTAACAGAGGGAAAGGGGTGAGGGAAAGGGGTTCAAATGGAACTGGGGCAATGATGGGAAACCTTTGCTTTGTTGCTTCTATTTTATCAATAAAGTCATTGGTGGGAGAGTGTAAGTGTTTTGGGAGATGAGAAGAAATAGAATGGTCTTTTAGAGAGAGCAGGGAGGGAAAGCTAACACCCTGGGTAGTGGGGATGGCTGGAGGCCAGCAGCCTTGTTAGAGATGTATAGACATAACTATGCATTGATCTCAGTGCTCCTACTGTGCTCAGCAGCCTTGGTGTAGTGGAGGGGACAGCTGCCTGGGTGGGAGTCCTGCTGGGAGGACACACAGAGGGAGGGAGGAACCAGAGTTAGAATAATGAGCCTTGAAATCTGAGCTGGGTGAACAAGGAGGTGAGGGAGTGAAGAAGCACAGGTAGGTGACTGCTAATGAAAAAGGTTAGGGGTGGTGGGTGAGCAACACCTGTGAGGCCATGAGCAGAGCCAACATCCAGAGGCCTCTTTCCAGCCTGATTAGGGAAAGTGTTGCTCAGATAAACTGACTTAGGGCTTGCCATTCAGTACCCGAGATCTAGGGTTTGTCATTCAACTTGTCTTGGTTCACTTAGGGCTGGATCTTTTCTGTACACCCTTCAGGGAAGTACTTGAGCTGGGTAGAAGTGACGCAAGGTGACCTCCCCACTGGCCTACTAAAGATGGCAAAAGAAAGCAGTGGATTTTCTCTGCAAGGGAAAACACCTGCGTGTTTTCATCTGACCTCCCTTTTCCCAAGTCTGTGAAGTAGGACAGGTGGTTTCCCATTTAACAGATGTGGAGATTGAGGATAGGAGATGTGGGGCAGAGCCTTTGGCTTCACCTCTCACTCCAGTACTCTTTCCTAAAGTTGATGTGGAAGCTCATCAATTCTGAGTGCCTGCCAATTCTGGAAATGAAAATGAAAATAGATGTAAAGGCGGATTTCCTGTCAGAGTTATTGAGTCTCAACTCTGTGCTCTGAGGGGCCTTCAGGGAACATTTAAGAATCCCCCACTCTGCCCAGGCTTTACTTGCACAGGGGTTCCTGCCCATTGAAGGTCTGCCCAGCCTCTTACTCTTCACCTGTCTCTATTGCCTCCAGCTCTTGGAGTCTGGAACTGTAGCCTCCAGGCTCACCTCCCTGCTCTGGCTAGCAGAGGGCCACTGTGCTGCAACGTTGGTAGCAGAGTGTGAGATGAGAGGAACTCACAGAAGTGGAGAGATCCCTGAACTTCAGGAGGAGAGAGGTCTGATGCTGAAACTTGCCAGGAAAAGAACTGCTCAGCCTTTGACCACCCCTTCTGATTCACACTTCATGGCCCCCACCTCCCTTCCCTGCCTCAGACTCCTATAACTTCTTAAAATTCCCCTCCCCTTCCTTTTCCTCTTCTTCCTTGTAGCCTGTAAAACATTCCAATTGACAAATACAACTGTGGGTTTTTAGCTATTTGCGAATAAGTTGTGACATGGTGCCCAATCATCCCTGAGCACATGAATGGACATGGCTACAAACACGGGCATTTGTTTATATAAACACAGGAAAGCCATTGAAATCAAGAGAGTAACGTGAATATCTTGTTGTTATCTAGTGCTCAGATCCTCATCACATCCTGCCAGTTGTTTCCATCACACCCACAGCAAAGGGATTCAGTTCCGGGCACGTGAGGCATTTGTCAACATGTCTCTCTTTCCTCCAGGCTGGGACAGACTCTCCTCCATTTGGTAGCCTTCGACCACAGGCCGTGTTCTTTGGATGCCCCTCGGTTTGGGTTGTGTGAGTGTGGCTCTTCCTCGGTGATGCACCTGCAGTCCCACACTGGTTCTCCCTGTGCACTGGCATGCAGTTTGGGTTTCTTGGTTCCTGACAGCATTGACTTTGACCATGTAGTTCAGGCAATGTCTGCTAAGCTTCCTCATGGTCAAGTTGCTCTTTCCCACTTTGTAGTCACTAAGATTTTCTGGGACAGGTACTTCAAAACCATGTAAATACTACTATTTCATTCCTCGTCATTCATTTCCAATTTTATTCAATAGACTATATTTATTATTATCAGTACTTACTTTGATTCTCAAATTTTTCCTGATTTGGCCACGGGAGCATCTTCAAGCTGGTTTCTAAGTTCCTTTGACATGATTTCTTCACTTCCTGTGAGTGTTCTCATGTTCTGGCATGGATGTTTCAGGCTCACTTCATACTTTCCACGCCTCTGTTCCAGAACCAGCCTTCTCTCCAAGCCTTGATTCCATTTAGTGGACAGTGGCATTTAGAAATGAGGACTCGGGGCTAAGTGTGCTTCCTGACTGCAGGGTGCAGATGCTTCCAGGCTATTTCAGAAGAAAGAATGTGTGCGTGTGCGTGTGTGTGTGTGTACATACATACTTATCGAACATGCATTTCTACATCTATCTGCACATATTGTCAGTATGAGTCCATTTATCATACTTTTCCACTTCTAATCCAGCATCACGGTGTCCAGCTTTCACATTCCCATGTTTGTGCCTCATTTATCAGAGCATGAAACTCTGGCTCCTGTTATTTTGCATGTGTTTATGTACTGGATAATCCCTTGTGTGTAAACAACCTCCCATTGTCAGCACCTCCTGCCCCTGCAGATGCTTCTGTCACCCGGTGCTGGGCTCCGACACCCTGTGCCAGGCAGCTGCCCACGGGGCACCCTCCCTTCCCTGCTCAGGCTCCAGTTGGGCCCCTGCAGCTCCTCCCTCCCTTTTCCCACACCAGGGTGTCCTGCTCTCCCACTCTGGCTCTGATGTACTGTGCTGGCTGCTCTCACTGCTCAAGCTTCAACACTTCAAACTGGAGTGAGCATCTACCCCCCCCAACCCCTCCTGGGGCAGCACAGAGGTCTGGTTCACTCAGCCCCACGTGATGGCTTTAGGATGGACTTGTTCCATGCTTCCTATGTTGACGGCTCACACTTGATTTTGTCATTGAGTCAAAGGCTAAGAAGGACAAACAATTGTCCTCAAGTAAATAGCCAGCCCTGTGCCCCATGCCCTGTCCTCATTCTGCCCCTCACACACACTGTGCCCAGTAGGAGGGGCCTTTAGAAGACAGAGCTGCTTTCATCTCTGCCTCCTCAGGTAGCAACAGTGGGTGGAGGGGAGAGGTGGCCAGGGTCCTGTCAGCTGCACAGCTCATCCAGCCTTGGCATGTGAGCTAGAGAGGGGACAGTTTAACTGCACAAATGCTTCCATGGAAATGCTTTTGAAATTCTGTGTCAGCCAGCATTTGTGTGTGTCTCTGGAGTGTAGGTGTAGAGACATAAATAACAACACAGGACATAAAATACCTGCCACCCAGCATCAATCAATCTCACTCCCTCCCCACCTCCACACAGCTCCTCAGGATGGATTCTTTCCGTGCAGCCATGCAGCTCCACGAAGCCATGCAGCAGCCGTGCAACCCTCACACAGTTGCTTCCACGTGCGTGGCCCCCACACAAGCTCACAGCCTCCTCTCTGACTTGGGCTCCGATAACTATTATTTCCTCTCTTTCTCTGCCCAGGAAACATGTGGGCTGCTGCTATGCTTAAAAAGGTAGATTCACTTGTAAATGTTGACATAGGAGCTCAGGGATTAATACAATTTTACTAGTTCTAGAAACAGAAGAAATATACCCTTTTTATTTCTCAGAAAACAAAAGGTAAGAAAGCGTATCCCTTCTTTCTCTTTCCCTTTTACAGGGTGCTGGGGATCAGGCATGTCAAGTGCCTGATATGGGGGTTTCTGGGTAGTAGGTGCCTACCAAAAATGAGTTTTGCTGGCCACATAGCTCCAAGGCTTTTATTGATGCTGCATGAACTCTCTGCTCTGCAGCAGTCCTCTGTGCATGTCCTAAAACACACCTGTCATGGATGGAAGGGGCCTGAGCTTAGCATGACCAGAGTGGCAATGGTCAGAGAGGCCTCTGCTACATAACTTCAGGGGGCGTGTTGGCACATTGCTTCACCTTTCTGAGCTCAGCTTGCTCCACATAGAGGAGATATGTCCATGAACAGCTTGCAGGGTGCTGGGGATCAGGCACATCAAGTACCTGATATGGGGCTTTCAGGGTAGTAGGTGCCTACCAAAAATGAGTTTTGCTGGCCACATAGCTCCAAGGCTTTTATTGATGCTGCATGAACTCTCTGCTCTGCAGCAGTCCTCTGTGCTCTGCAGTCATTCAGTCCAGGATGATTTCTTGGACAGGGTCTTCTGAAAGCCATGGCTGTTAGAAAGCACCGCCTTCCAATGAGAGGCATTCTCCTCCTTGGGGGTTTCCCACTCAGTGCTCCTTTGGAGCCAGATGGAGTGAGGAGGCTCCTTCATATGGTTGCCTTCTTCCCATATCTCTGGACAAATCCTTTCCTCAGATCCTTTACCCTTTGTGCTGGTCTGAGTCACCTTTTCTTCTGCCCATGCCTCTGTATCTCTCTCACACTTGGACAGTCAGGCTAAGAAACAAGCACAGCCAGGCGACGGCCCAGATGCTACACTTGGAACAGTGTGGCTCCGGTTCCATTAGCAGTTTTGGGAGAGGCTATGCCACATTGGTGCAGAGTCAGAATCAACTACATTTGCCTACTGGCAAGTTGTAGCTCTCAACCTGTATCTGCTGTGTGGATGTTTTGAATCCAAATTGAGTCCCACTCGTAT